AAAAAAAAAAAGAAAAGAAAAGAAAAGAAATAAAGAAGAAAAGGAAAAACGTTGGAAGACGACGATTCTTTTGGAGGACAACGGAACTACCATTAACCTGATTTTTCTTAACTATAATACGATAGAGGTCTTTCGCGACGATATGAAAAAAAGGGATGGGGGGGGGAGGGATGCAGGGAAGGAAGGGGGTGGTGGTGAAAGTATTTTGAAACTATTAAGTAACAACGAGAACAATCATCAAGAAAAAGAAAAATATCAAAAAAATATTCTTCGCAAATCCTATTCCATGCACGCATCACACATATATGTATACACACACACACACACACACACACATATATATATATACGAATAAAAATACAGAATAGCATATATGTGTCAGGGTCGGCATCGTTTTACCCGAGAGCAACAAACAACGTAATAATAATATTGCTGCACGTAATAGCATTGCTCGTTGGTTATAATATTGCTCCTTATAGTTACTATAATATATATTACTACACTCATGTTATATACAATTCTTCCTCTCTCTTTTTCTATCACTATATCTATCTCTTTCTCTCACTTTCTACGATCCGGAAAGTCTTAACGTTTCAATTGCGATTCCATCTCGTGCTAAGCCTTTAACATTTCGAAACGCTTTCGCAATCTTTTAGCAATCAGGGGGGAACAACTTCGATGAACAAACACGTCATCGTCATAGTCATAGTCATCTTTGTGTGTGTCTCTCTCTCTCTCTCTTTTTTTTTATTCCTTTTTTATTTTTTATCTTTCTCTCTCGTTAAGGCCCTCTTCCCTGTCCCCCCGTCCCCCTCTAACAGGAAGAGAATAACTTTCTCATCTTTCTTATCTATGGTTAGTTATGAGTGTTGCTAATGTTGTACGTATTTATTACCCTGCCCCCCTGCCCCCTACCCCCCATAGAATTCGTAGAATATTTCAAACATAATTTAGTCGTAAAATGTGTGATGTATTAATTAAGTGTCTTTTTCTTTCTTTTTTTTTTTTTTTTAATCAGTTTTCCCATTAATTCGCTTGCCTTTTTTTTTTATATTCTTTTTCCTTGTACTTTATTCTTTTCATTTTATTTTTCCTTATACGAACTTCAGAATTATTATTATACGCGGTCTTATTAATGTCAATTATAAAACGTTTAATCACGGTATTATTACACATGCTGAACATACTTTGTTTTTTAGTCTATACAATTTCAAATGAATTCTGACGGCAATGATATATGAATGTATGTATGTATGTATGTATGTATATGTGTATGCACAATCAACATTGTGGTTTTACTCGAGTTGCTTGAATAACGATCTCGCGTATTTACGCGAACAAAAAATGAAAATGAAAAATTGAAACAAAAATATACACTCTCGTATACATATATATGTAAATACATATGTCAATTATATATTACACATATGGTGTATACAAGTATTGTTAACGAAATTGTCATTTTATAACGAGTACTCGCGCGCGTGATCGAATGCAATTAATTTTCTTCTTTATGCGTTAAATATTGCCATATTTAATTTATCGCTGAATCATATTTAGGGGAAAGGGGGGAGGGGGAAAACGTATGACCGATAAAAAATTAATCTTCGTATTAAACAGTTAAACCATTATTGGCAGACAAACGAAAATTTGTTCTGCATTTTATCATAATAATAATATTTGTATTATAATATATATATATATATAAATGATATTTAACGATGTAAAAATTGAATAATGAACCGATTGAAATAACATTGTTTAATAATCAAGTGAAAAAAAAAGTTAATAAACAAAAGATAAGCATAATGAGAGAAGAAAATAAAAAAAAGAATAAAAAAAAAGATAAAGATTATTAATATACTTACCTATGATCCACAAGACCGGAACTTGGATTTCTACTATGACACCTTATTACGGTATCATGAGTCAATCTGCTACCACTTGGTTGCAGAGGATCTGTGTTTTCATCGGTTCCCGTGCCAGTACTTTCGGCATACAATCCTGTCATGGCATACATGCTCTCGTTCCGTCTATGTCCCGCATGATAATTGCTACCCGACTCGGACCTGAAAGTTATTTTCGCACTACGTTAATTGAAAGTTAGCTGAACGATAACGATAACGATACTCCTCTCTCATCGTGTCATGTGATCTTCTCGTCCATGAAATGTCATATATATATATATATGTGTGTTACTGTGAAAAACCGAAATTGGCAAATGTGTGTAAAATATTATATCAAACACGTCGGTGAAAGACCGAATATTTGGATTTATTTCTTATACATTAATATTATGGACATACACCAAACTACCATGTGAATTTTTAACATATTATCCAATGTATATATAATTATATATATTTTTATAATTATATAATAATATTAATATATATGTTTGTAACATGTGTGTGTACATTAATATGTATATAATATA